TCCCAGCACCATCCCTCTAATTTGCTTCAAGAAAACCCTCGAGTCTACTTCGTATGCTCGTCAAATATCACCACCACGGACATAATATCGCAGTAGAGCAGAACACCAACCATGAAACCTGAAGAGTCATCGCCGCTGATGACTTCACTTTAAATTTAGTATGCCATTCGCCCCGTTTTCTATGACCAAACATCCTCCTGTAATTCTGAGTTAGCATATGCGGTTTCCTTGCGGTAGAGAGGGAGTAACAAAGTCATTACATACCTGGTATTGGTTCGCTGACCTCATGTTCTTAACGATCTCCTCGCCCTTGGCCTCAGAGACCCCACGTCCCTCGGCAATGATTTGTGCCAAGACGGTATTGACCTCACGGGCCATGTGGGCTGCATCACCGCAGACATAGAAATAAGCCTTCTGGGAAAGCAGGTCGCTGACCTCCTTGGATCGCTCCTTAAGTCGGTGCTGGACATAAACCTTCTTGGAGCCCTCTCGAGAAAAGGCGGTGATCATCTCAAACTTATCGCCAAGAGCCTCCTTGTATTCCTGGAACAGTCAGTATAAACCTCGAACGTTTGAATGCTATGTTGTCTTACCTGCCACTCCTTCTGGTACATGAAATCCTCTGTTGACTTTCGGCAACCAAAGAATAAGAGTGTCTTTCCAACCTCAACACCATCACGGGCTTGCTTAGCACGCTCCTGAACGAATCCGCGGAAGGGAGCGACACCAGTACCAGGACCGATCATGATGATAGGCTTACCAGGGTCCGAGGGGAGCTTGAAGTTGGAGTGACGAACATGAACGGGAACGTGGATGCCATCATACTTGTTGCGGGGGCCTGTAAGCTCGTAGCTCTGACCGAAAGGTGCAGGGTTGGGGTCGCCGTTTTGCTTTTGCTTTAGGGCAAAAAGATAGTTTGTGGCAACACCACGGAAAGGATCATCTCGGCCAGGAATCTGCTGGGACTCAACGACGGCAGTGATGGAGATCTTCTTGGGCTGAACCAGAGACGAGGAAGAAATAGAATAGTAACGGGGCTGAAGCTTGGTGAGACCCTCGATGAAGGCAGAGAAGGGGATTTTGGTCCACTTCTCGCCCTTGCTGACGCTGGCGAGGAAACGGGCAATGTTGTAGTAATGCGGGCCAGTCTTCTCGTGGAAATAATCCTTGTCGCTGCCAAGGCGGTTCATCTCAGCCTTGATATCATCGTTGGGAGCGAATGCGGCGAGAGTAGAAACGAATTGACGTGAAACAGGAGCGCAGATCTCGAGGTGGTATCGCAGAATGGCATCGTAGGTTGTAGGGTTGGGAAAAGGAACCTTGGCGGTTGGCTCGAGAGCCTTGACAGTGACAACGCTGTGCTGCTTGCCCGAGAGGTCGAGAATATCCAGGAATTTGTTGACCTCCTCACCAGGGTTGGTAGGCCAGATAGCAATATGGTCTCCAGTCTCGTACTTGAGGTTAGAACCGCTGATGTCAACTTCCATGTGGAGGCAGTTTCTGTCCTTGGCGGAGAACAACTCGTAAGATTCAGCGATAGGGGCAATGTAGGGGTTGTGGGAGTTGAATGGTCCCTTGGCGGTGCCTTCGAGGTGAAGCTTGTTGGGCTCACCGAGATACACTTCATTGGCTTCAGGAGTCAGGTCGTCGCGTTCGTTAATGGCAAAGATAGGCTCGTAGACGGCTTCACGCTCTTCCAGTCCCATTTTCTTAGCAAGGGCTTCCCACATGGGATCCTTCCAAGCCAAGAAATCCTCTTCCATGGTACCAGCACCATCATCACCCTCGCCAGCTTCACCAATGCGGTGAGCGCCAAGTTTCTCGAGAGCCTTGTTAACATTGCGGACCATAGAGTTGTAGTGCTCATAAGTGTTGTTTCCAAGACCAAAAGCAACGTAGTTGAGGTTGCCCAGCGGAGGATCATTGCCCTCATTGAAGCTGGCATCCTCGCCGGTAATGAACTCATAGAAGTCGACCGCGTTATCGGTAGGCTCGCCTTCACCATAAGTTGCGAGAACGAACATGACGATGTTGTCACTTGGGACGGTATCCAGGTTGTCGAAATCGTAGTCCTCAAGATCGGCAATCATGGTGTTTAGTCCATATCGACTCTTACCCTCCTTGGCGAGGCGAGAAGCGTAATCCTCGGCAGTACCGGTCTGAGAACCATAGAAGACAACACAGTTCTTGCCGGATTCTTCCATTGCCTCAACGATGTTCCTCGTACGGCCCGGCTTAGCAGCGCCGCCGGCAGCGAAGCCATTCGCATAGGGGTCCTTGGTAACACCCCATAGCTTGCCCTTTGTAAAGTATGCAACCGTTCCGAGGAAGATAACGCCGAGGACGACGATGTCCAGAGTGTCGAGTTCAGCCATGATGGCTACGAAAGCGCTGGGGCGGATTCGTGGTCAAGAGGTATAGAGCCAGCAAACACAACGATGCGGGTGACAAAATCAGGATCTGCCGAGTTTCAACGAGATTTCAACGTTTTTGTCCCAATACTCATCGGCCGGAAAGGAGGCGGGGGAGGAGGACGAGGACGAGGAGGAAAGTGGGCTGTGGCGTGAAGTGTCTAGAAAGAGAGTCAGTTAACAAATTCGCGCTAAAGTAGGAGATGACCCGAGGATCCTTTATCGTGCGAGCTGAGATTGCTGGACCGCACTTACAATTTGAAGGATCAGCACTAATCATGAACTTTGGCCACGTAAACCCATCTACTCAGCGGCCAAAACCCAACTCTTTTTACGACTCGTAGCTATTATGGAAATACCTACCCGGAGCAGCGTGAAACGAAACCTCCTCAAAAGGGTAAAGGTGTGTGCTACTCAGAACAGCGACGGAATGCCACAGTGGTCTTTATCTCGCTCGGTTGTTGGCTCGGATTGAACCGTTAAAGCCGGGGTTCTTCTTGTTGTTGGGGCTCAATTGCGGGATTGCAGGGGTTCAGGCCAGAGTCGCTTTCGAGATGGTAAAAGTGTCTCATTCACTGTCGAGTTGGTGATTCTCTGCCGTGAAAAGAAAGACGCAGTGGGCTGGATTACTTGACCGCGCAGACGCCTCAAAAGCCAGAAGGGGATAGAGCAATGAAGAAGACAAGGAAACTCGGAACTTGATATGTGTTTTCCACTTCCTTTCCATGGAGCGACCTCGCAGCCGGCGCCCGGAAGATCAAACGGTAAGTGACGGCGGTCGAATCAGGAGATACTGCGGCCGGTACCGGCGGGGTTCCGAAAACGAGCATGCTCAATATGTAGGTATGAAGCCGCCATTTGCACGGAATCTTGCACTTCCCGTCATCGACTCCCGGCCGACTTGACTGGCCTCGGCATATCGAGCAATAGCATTCTTCATTCTTCAATCTCTAGCCTCCATCCCCGCGTTTTTGTCCCGCGTGGTCATATCTTATCGACTATCTTCGTTAGTTCTGCTCCTCATATTTATGTATCCAGCAAATTTACCCCAAGATCTTCGAATCACCTTGCAACATTGGACTTTAGTTCCGCCCTGAATTCTTTTGCGGAAACTATCCCGATGTTTCGATCCGCGGCTCCTTTGTTGAAGTGCCGAGTGCACATGCACATGCCTCGACCCCTCAAATTGAAGAAAACTTGTGCAGTCCAGAGACAAACAGTCGAACACAACATCCAGTGTGGCTGTTATCAGCAGGCTACTTACTATATAGGTATCTGAATCAGAACAATAGAAAGCTTGGGCCTTATTTACGAGTCTTCCTATGTGGCACTTACCTTTGTTTCTTTCACATCCTTTGCTACCAAGACAGCCTAGGGTACCATTGCCAATTTATTTGCTCAAAGTCAATCGATTACCCACTGGAATGCGGGACATCGACAACCATGACACAAGAATGTCTCACATGAATTTCTGCTCATTTTGTATGCAGGTACTATATAAACAAACGCTTGTGGTTTGGCCAGGTCTACCAAGCAGGTCGCATTGCTTAAAATATTCTTCTGGTCACCCTTTTGATAATATATGTTGTGTTCTAATTAGCCTCAGCTTCTTGAATGGTGCTTCAATGTAGTCTATACCCTTTGTGTTCTGCAAGCGAGCTGCCAGGATGAAGCGGAGATATCACAGATACTATACGGAGTACACAGGTCCCTGACTCATGGAAACCTCGCTTATACCACCCCTTCGCATGATGAAGTTGTGTGCGGTGCTTATACCAGTAGCGAGATATTGAACGACATGGAGATCCATTATGCTAACTCAAGGGTTATCTTTTAAGCAATTCCACACTGGTACAATGATCAGCGGAGCATAGCGGAGGAAACAAGTGCTATTACGCTGATGAGCATCTGGGTCTGTTGATCCTTGCTAACAAGTACAGGTGTGCTCTCGTTTACATGTGTATGTTCTGATAATTGACCAGCTTTGGCATTGGGGAGTATCCATACTTCAAGCCTCACCGAGTCATTCTCGTGAATTGATGTCTCTCAGATAAGATCTCGAACCTTGAGCCATGAGGATCACCCAAGCCCCCCTCTCCAAGAAGCCAATTGACAGGCAAGAAGTGGCGCGCTGTCTCCCAAGGGCCCGTCATCCCATGTCGGTTGATCTTAGTTCCGTTGATAGGCCATGGCCCTTGCAGATAGCAAGGATACGGCCAAAAGAACACTGCGAATCGACTGCCATGTGTGCCATGTGTTAGAGCTCCCTGGGTTCGTTTGGCTCCATAACAACCTCTTTAAAGACTTGTCGGACAAGCCATACAGCGGGCCGGGCCAATACATGGGCAAGCTGACGGTAGCGTCATTGCGCGTGTTCCAGCCGTCAAAGTCAGTCGGTCTCTTGGGTCTTTGTCTTTGTTGTCAAAAAGACTCCCTCGTGTACTGCACATGCATAGTTGCATCCCTTTAGACCCGTAAATATCCTTCGCCTTTCTCGTTTTCCCTTCTTTTGTTTTTGCTCAGTTGCGATACTGACACTGAGATTGAAGAATCAACATAGATCATGGGATTGCGAAATAGAACTTGAGGATGGGTAAGTCCAAATCCCTAGAAAGGGTGTCCACACTCCAATATGTTCAGTACCTGACACCAACACCAACCCCTCTCTTCCCGCACCACCTCTAAAATCTGGGCTGTATCGCGGGAATACCTTCGTCACCACTTTCCCCCAAGAAAAGCCAGTCAATTCAGCCTTGCGGGGTCTTCTGTATTTATAACTGCATTCTAAGCAGAGTTGGCCGTGCTTACATGTAGACCCTGCTCTAGGCGTCTCCGCTGTCGTTTCACCAACATCTTCAAACATTCAGCAAAGATATCTCTTTTGTTCACTAACCCCCTTGTGTGACCCATAGTGCCGTCGCAGCCGCTGCCGGACCACCTGCAGGATACGCTCAGGTTCTCTCCCCGGCCTGTTCCTAGACTCGAAGAGGAGGAAGAAGAAGAAGAAGATGATGATGAGAAGAAGTGGGATAGAACATTACGCCCTGTAGCTTCAGAATCGCCGGTCGCCCATCGATTTGCGCACTCACGAGAATCGTCCGCCGAAAAGATCCCCCAGACGCACCCGCCCTTGACATCCCCACGACTTCATTCGAGGAGCCCCCTTGGCGGCGTTGTAGAGCGCATTATCGACCCGAAGAGCGCCGCGTACGGTCATCATCGTCAAACTTCGATTGTCCACGGCATTCAACACTCGAGAAATGGCAGCTTGGCCAGCACCAGCTCCAGTCCCCTCAGCCCGCAGATGATAGCAGCCGCTGGCGTCGGCCTTGATCGTTCAGACATGCAATCAGTGGCCACCCGTATCGATGGCGACGCCAGTTATCCTTCTCGGCCACCTACATCTCTCTCCGGAAATGTTGCACCTATGGACCGTCCTAATGCTTCTGATGCTGCATATGGCATGACCCAGCGAAAGCTCGAACGAATGCATAGTAAATCTCGGCGGGACCATACCCCCCATCATTCTCACTCTTCACGTCATAAGGATGAGCAAAAGACGGTTGGCGAATATGCGCTTCATGTCTTATTCACCTCAGTCAGTACAAACTTTAGTGTGTAAATGCTTACCACAACTAACTTGAAATAGTTTATTGCACAGGCGGAGGAGAAGTTGACAGAATGCGTCACGGTTCCGTTCGATCCCGAACCCAATGTTGAACAAATATGCGGACCCGGTGTTGACCCATCGTTCGATCAGTTGATAGTTGCCCTGGGCCATATCGCTAGCCCGAAACCGAAAGCCTTGATAGACTCGATGATGCTCTGGAGAAAAAGTAAAAGTGATGCTGCCAACGAAGCTCGCAGTCATCTTCAGCAATCTCGGAATGCCGCTGGGGGGGCACCTCTTGTTCGAAGAAATACAGAACCAGTACAAGCTGCGATGCCCGGCCAAGGAGGTACTGATTCTGTTTTCCCAAATGGTCCGCCAACACTCGCAGCAAGGCAAGAGTTTGTAGCACAAGCTGAACGTCGGTCGACCGTATCTATATACATTCTTTGTCGCGTTCTCCTCGAAGTCATCAGTCAGAGTAACTTGCCGTCTATCACCGCTGAAATGGAGGATAAGCTGGAAAGTATTATATTCGGACAACTCAAGATCGCCGATACTGAGCAGTTGATGGTTTCGCCTCTGAAACTTGCCAATTGGAACCTTTTTGCTCAATTGCTGGGACACATGAGTGGCATCAACTTTGGTGGGGTTACCAGGAGGTTCATTGAAGACCTGGACAGCTCTCTCCAAGAACGTGTGGTCAAAAGCCCAACCTCCTCTTCCGGTCGAGATGCAGAGGGAAAGGTAGAGCTTGTTTTGGGGGGCATGAAGCACCTTAAGCTCAAGATCTCACCCGAAGAGTCCTGGGAACAATCCTGCGATTTTCTCATCTCAGTTGGCCGTTTGTTCCAGAAATCTCACGGCCAAAAAGTCAAGACAGCCTTCTGCCAAGTGATAGAGATGCTTCTTCTTCCAATCGCCGCCAAGGCAAGCAACAGCCATTTCATGCATCCAAAATGGGCGGAAGTACTCGCTGCTGTCGGACCTCGCCTTGCACAAATGTTTATGAAGCCGAGGCATTGGAACTTCGCATTCCCTCTTACTGCGACTTTGCTTTGTGTATCCTCTCCGGACAATTTTGGATCACAATGGCTGCAGTTGATATTGCCTTTACAAACTAAAGTCAAGGATCGAATGACTAAACCCCTTTGTCTTCAGGTCATCTCTCGCTTGTTATGGACATTTCTGTATCGAACTAATGAGACCTTCCAAAATAGCCTCCGCAAAATCGACGAGGTCATGAAACTTGTTTTGCCATCTTCCAAGCGAAGTTTAGTTGCATCGGATACTCCGTGCACCGAACCTCTGATCCAGATCATTCGGATCGTTGGCTTCAAATATCCTGAATATTGCTTTAGGAATGTTGTGTTTCCTCTTATCAATGCTGAACTTTTTACTTCCAACAAAGAGTTGAAAGTTGAGCAACTGGACCCTGACCGGGTTGTTGTTGGCATCAGGGCTTTCCTATACATAATGTCGGATTTGGAGAAGGGTGAACAAGGGCGACCCCCGTTCCCCCAATTCTTTGAAAGTCCAAACTCGAGTTCGACTCCCGATCGGTTTCCTGTCTCCCCTGCTGTGTCTTCGGCCCGCAACTCTCCGCTATCACAACCAGATGCGCATTCGAAGGAGGAGTACATCACTCGCCCGGTTCTAACCCACGTATTGAGTGACGGAGTCCGAGACTTCTATCTCAAGTTCTGTGAAATCCTTGGGAAAATCACGATTATTTGTGACAATACCTTTGGTGGACAAGCGGCCTTGGATGAGAAGTTCAATAGCCCTTTGCCAAAAACCCCTATAACTGAGACCTTTACCTTCTCTCGCAAAGACGACCATCAGAGTGCCGCGGATCAAAAACAAGCGTTTTATGAACTCTTACATGTTGCTGTTCAGGCGTTACCCCGCTGTCTTTCTGTTGACATACCTTTCAACTCTCTGATCAATTTGCTCTGTACGGGAACAGCCCACGTGCAGTATAACATCGCAGAGTCATCTGCCAATTCTTTGAAAGCCATTGCCAGACAATCACATGCTCAACAAGTCACTATGGGATTCGCTCGTTTCATCTTCAACTTTGATGATCGATACTCAACAATGTCTGATGGCGGAATGCTTGGCCACAGTCATATCGAGAACACTCTACGCTTATACGTTGAACTGCTACAGATATGGATCGAGGAAATCAGACAAAAGACCCGCGATGCTGCTACAGACCAACCTGAAGCTAATGCCTCCGATAAAAGAGCTATCAAGCTTGATCTATCTAGTATCTGGGCGGAGGTTGACCAAGCCGAGGCCCACGGATTGTTTTTCCTCTGTTCGCAATCACGACGAGTTCGTCACTTTGCAGTGACAGTTCTTCGTTTGATTGTTGAATTTGACAAGGCCCTCGGGAAAGAAGCTTCTGAGGATAAGGATTCCATGAGACTGATTGATATCCTTGAAAACGAGTCCAGTAAGGTCATGGATTTCAACGATGAGCAGCTATCTGTTGCTGAACGAAGCCGACTGCAACGGGGTCTACAAAACGCCAACAACCAAGGTGCTCTCGTTGAGCTTTGTGCCAGTGATGTCTCTTATGATACCACTTTGTGGTTTAAAATCTTCCCTAAGCTCATTCGCATGGCTTATGAGAAATGTCCGTTTACAGTTACTATCTGTCGCGATCTCATTTGCAATCGTATTTTGCAGATGTACAAGCCAATCGTGTACCTCTCCGAGCCTTCAAGGGGCTTGTACTACAACAACGAGCCAGGAAGTGCTAGGCTAGGGGCCCGATCTGCGACAACTCATCCTGAGGTGATGGTGGAGCAATGGAAGCTGTATCTAATCTTTGCTTGCACAACACTGGCAGACCCAGGCGCTTTGCCAACGGCTCAGGATCCTCAGCACGTCCGGAAGGCATCCAAAGCGTCGTCCAAGGATAAGATTGTGACGGCTCGGATGTTGTTCAAGTACCTCATTCCCATGCTGTCCGTCTCCTCCGCATCTGTTCGGGACGCTGTTGTTGTTGCTATGGGGTCCATCAACATTCATATTTATCGGACTCTTCTTGAGGAGCTTCAGGGCCAAGTCTCTCGATGCAACGATGAGGCACGAGCTCGTATACATCAGAGGACAAACAGCAATCCTAGGAGGAATAGGAAGATGGATCTTCTCAGAACGGAAATTACCCATGTTTTCAAGTTGACGTCGCATTTCCTTCGAGACCCCGAAGTTTACAACGGCGAGTTTTTCTTAACGACTCTCACCACATACACAAAGGACCTGAAGCTATTCCTGATGGACGGAGAAGTCCAGATGGATTGGGAATTTCAGAAGCTCCGACGCCATTACTGTGGACTGATGGAAGCATTATTTGAAGGAATTAACAGAACCAAAGACCCGTCCCGATGGATGACTTTTGAATCCCGAAAATCGGCGTTCTCGCTGATGGAGGACTGGTGCGGATTCTCGCCGAATCAGAACCAGATCCGTGCTCGAGAGGACACCATGCGGCAATCGCTAATTGACCAACAGACCTTGGGCGAGCGAGGCACTGCTACCGCTGCGATGGAGATAGAGAAGAGAAACCTTCGGACTGCAGCCCTCAGTGCAATGGCTGCTTTATGTGGCGGACCAATTAGCGTCACAACTGAGAGTAACGTGGTGCTTCAGTTTGATGTTCGACGCATGCTTGCTTGGATCGACTCTATTTTCAACTCGGGAAGCGATAAGATGAACGTCATTGGCAGAAGAGCCCTCCAGAACCTAATCGTTCACAATCAGGAGGTTCCTTACTTGATGGAGCACTGCATTGCACGTTGCTATTTGGCCGAGGCCCCTAAAGTTCTCGAAAGCTACTTCACCGTGGTCACACAAGTTCTCCAGGATCACATTGACTATCCTTGTCCGTTCTGGAAGCTCCTTGGTTTGTGTCTGTTCACATTGGGCAATGATCAAAGCGAGATCCGGTCCAAGTCTTCTACTGTCCTTCGGAGCTTGGAGGCACGTCAACAGAGAAACTCCAAGATTCAAGACTTTGACATCAGCATCTCAGACAAAACGCAGGCCGTGTACAAACTAGCACAGTTCGAAATTTCCAAACGCCTTGCCAAGCAACACACAGAACTGGCATTCCACATCTTCTCCGAATTCACCCTTTATTTCAAGGATCTTCAACCTGCGGCTCAGCGAAATGTTGTTGCAGTCATGTTGCCCTGGATTCAGTCCATTGAGTTAAAGTTGGACCCTAGCGGTGGACCTGCGGCACAGTCATTTGTATTGCTTGCAAACCTGCTCGAGATCACTATCAAATCCAGTGGCGCACTGCATAATGAGGTTCAAGCACTTTGGCAGGCTCTTGCAACTGGGCCTTACCCAGGAAACGTTCGATTGGTTCTCGAATTCATCATGCAGTTGTGTCTTGAGCGTCGGGAGCAGAATTTCGTGGAGTATGCTAAGCAAATTGTCGTTTTTCTCTCAACAACAAACAGCACGCCTGGCATCAAGGTTGTTGAATTCCTTCTTATGCAAATAACCCCGAAGGCCATGGTACCGAACGAGAAGCGAGATGCTGTTGAGCCCCCAGCTGACATTAATCTTCTGCCCTACTGTGCTAACTTGGCAGAGGCTCTTCCAGTTGGAACCAAGCAAGCTGGGTTTTCTCTCGGCCAACTGTCATTGATCTTACTTGTGGATTTAATGGTATCTCCAGTTCACCTGACCCACGAAAACGTCCCGCTTCTTCTTCAGGTCGTCACTGTCCTTTGGGATCATTACACTCCGTTGGTTCAGGAGCAGGCACGAGAGATGCTCGTGCATCTCATCCATGAGGTGGTCATATCGCAGATAGACGAGCAGACTCAGGATGTTGACAAGACAGCCATCGAAGATCTAATCGACATGATTCGTCGGCACGATCGCTCTGTGGTCTGGGGATACGAGGATAGCAACGGCAAGGTTGACGATCACGATAGCAAAGTGCCACCAAGCATGGAATTCCTTACAACAGAGGTTATCAAAACCTTTGAGACGACCTTTCCCGGAATCAAAGAGCATTGGGGACGCCTTTCGCTTACTTGGGCGACATCATGCCCAGTTCGACATCTTGCTTGCCGCTCGTTCCAAATCTTCAGATGCGTTCTTACATCTGTGGACCAGCCAATGCTTGGAGACATGCTTGCCCGATTGTCCAATACTATTGCTGATGAAGACCCTGAAATCCAATCCTTTTCCATGGAAATCTTGACAACTTTGAAGACCATCATTGTCAAGCTTGATGCTGAAGATCTTCTTAACTTCCCACAACTGTTTTGGACGACTTGTGCTTGTTTAGAGTCTATCAACGAGCGGGAGTTTTTGGAAGCGGTTGAAATGCTCAATAAGTTCCTTTCAAAATTGGATTTGAGCTCACCAAATGTGCGACGAATACTTGCTGACGGCCAGCCGTCTCGCTGGGAGGGGATATTTGAAGGTATCCAGCCTCTACTTCACAAGGGTTTGCGGTCGTCGCTTTGTTGGCAACCAACTCTCGACACAATAGATAAGTTGGTACACCTACCAAGCGACGGCTTAGTCGGCGACGAGTCCCGTCTGTTCTTCTCGCTACTGGCCAACTTCCCCCGTTTCTTGAACGAACTTGAGAGACCCACCTCGGACGAAAGCGTTATCCAGACAACAAGACTTCTTCAGGAAGAAGCCGATAATCAAGGCTTGGCTGGTATCGCTGAGGCTCTGGAAGATTTCGCAATGGGAAATCCACAGGACAGCAGCAAAGATTTCATTGTTGATCTATGGGGAGCTTTACGAGAGTACTATCTCCCGCAGATGGATTTCCAGATGGTGACTTTCCTAACCGGGCTCCTCACAAACTCGTTGTCGTGGGTGAAGATCCAGACCATGAGGATCCTTTGTGTCGCAATTCCTGAAGTGGACATGCGCAAGCCTGAGCTCGCTGGACATGGATCCGATCTGATTTCCCCACTTCTTCGGCTCCTACAGACAGAGTTCTGTATGGAGGCGCTTGAGGTGTTGGACAACATCATGACTATGTCTGGAAATCATATGGACAAGCATCATTTGAGGATGAGTATGACACGGCCAACCTCGAGGGCAATACGCAAGGAATACGAGCGTACGCAGAGTTTGTTTGGAATACCTGAGGCATCAGGATGGGCCATTCCTATGCCTGCGAAGAAGACAGATGCTACGCGGGCCAATATCCATGCCGCTTTCTATACTTGTCAGGGCTCAGAAGGGATGTTGACCGAAACTTCACCTACCCCCGATGTCGAGTTTCATGCCGACGACTTTCCATACAACTACTTTGGCGCACCAGAACGAACCGAAACGATGCTGTCTGATGAAGGTCGCGGAGACGTTCACTCAGGGGATCTTGCAACCAAACTGGATAGCCTTGACGATTTCTTCGAAGAGCCGTCCAGTCCTACAACGGATGACGATGGCAGGTCTTCCAGAACAATCACCGAATATACCCCAGAGTCCTTCGAACCTGGAGCGGAACTTTACGATGAACAGATTCTGCCCATTCTTCACGAAGCCTCGAACAATACCTCCTTCCAAAATGGATTCTCTGATCGATCTCCAGGATTATCGAGGGAGGCAAGCTCGAACACTATGAATCCAGGCGCCTTCAGTGTGGTAATTCCTACTGTCAGACCAGGCCTACATTCCAGATCCATCACATCACCCTCAGCTCCAGCCTCTTATCAACCACAGATGGGCGATATTGTTTCTGATGATGAGTATATGGGGGGCTTCTCTGATGCTGATGATGAGAGGCCTGGCACGGGGCATACCGAAAGCGCCTTTTACTTGGAAAATATGATCAAGCCCGCAACACGAAGACCTCAGTCGAGGATGAGACGTGGGCCAAGCAGCCGTTCACGAGACGAGAGGAGCAGGGAGAAACCACCGCCTCAACCGGCATCACGCCTGGCTAATAGTATATTCCCACCAGGTATGCAAGACCACGCAGAGGGCGATATGCTATGATATGTGAAGAGGACTTGTTTTGTTGGCCATTTTTGTATAATTGCTGGATATGTTGTAAGATGAGCGGAACTTGTGCTGCGCTGGCGCCAGGGACTTTGAATGTCAACTAGTCAAAGTATCGGATATGTCACTACATATATTTCTAAGAAAAAAAGCGATTGAATTCCACAATGAATCAACTATCGAACTCATAGTTCATAGCAAGTCCTGTGGTTGCGAGTGACTATGTGGTTTCTGCTCAGCTTGGCCGACAACGTAAGGCGTGGAGCCTCAAGCTTTTCATTTATCAAGGCTAAATAAATAATCCTAAACTCAAGATTAATGTAGCTATTCTAAGCGAGAACAGTTGATCATCTCTCATAATACAATCAGCTCGAATGATAGCACTTGGAAAACGTTGGCAGGGTTATATGTAACCCCGTTTAATGCATATTCTGGCCCAATCTCCATAAACCAATGGTTTTAAGATGGAAAGGTTCGATACATCAGCCAACATTCTGTGAATAATGCCTATTTTGCTCCGAGGCTTTTTTAATGTCTCAAGGCATGCAAATCATTCGACAAAATGGTGCCGCGCAATAAATGGTGCAAGGCTGATGAGCAAGCGCAAAGCCAAGGCTCCAAAACCCTATGAATTGATATATCCTGATGCTCCGACCAAGGAGCACTCCGATCTCAACTCCTTCTTATCATACGTGGAACGTGTCAGCTTAAACAAAAGATCTACGGTCTACAGAGGCACCCATTATGAGTACACAGTCGCCGACACACTATCCCAGTATGGCTTCTTTCTCAAACGCGTTGGCGGGCAGTCAGACCGTGGCATGGATCTTCTGGGGATATGGACACTCCCCTCCACGACGCGAACTTTCAAAGTGGTTCTCCAATGCAAAGCGGGTGCTCGGAGTGCAAGCCCAATGTACGTTCGCGAGCTCAAGGGCGCCATGGCAGCAGCGCCTCCGGGATGGCGAGGCAATGATGTCCTGGGCCTCCTGGTGGGTGAGAAACCAGCCACAAAGGGTATGCAGGGCGAGATGCATTCTGCGGATGTGGCGCTAGGCTATGTGTGCTGTTCTAAGGAGGGAGATGTTCTGCAACTGCTATGGAATATCAAGGCTCAAGAGATGGGGCTAGATGGAGTTACAGTTGGTTTGAAGTATGGGGAGGATAATAACAAGCTTGTGCTGGTGAGGGGAGGTGAAATGTTGCCTCTGCTGGAGAAGACCAAGACTGAGGAGGAAGACGTGGTGGTTGATGTGTCTGCCATTGAGTTTGAAGGTTCACAAAGTTGACGTGGAATGGCCACTCTCATGCATTTTATGTATTCTATGTAAAATATGGCATATTTCATTTATTCACTTCATGTCAAGCCAAGAAGTAGAGTGTATCAGAATCAGCACGTCAGAACGTTATCCAAAGTTATCTATGCGAAAACGTTCTATAATGACATGGCCCTCACTTATCCTTACTCAACGCCTCCTTTCCTTGCCTTCATCTCTCGTAGGTAATCAGCCTCGGTTCAGTGGTTACATTCCACGCTCATATACCAGCCTTCGCAATAGCCTTCTTCACAGCCATCTCGATCTCCTTGAGATACGCTTCGGGCTTCTTCGTACCAATGGCTTTGTTGTCATCACTACCGTCCATGTCGAAAACATCATCGAAGCTGAATTCTCCAGAAACCACATCTTGCTCGACAAGATCACACGGTACAGCCTTGTCGAATGTGACCCATTCTTGGCCTTTATGATACTTGTGACAGAACTGCTCCTCTACCGGCTTGCCAGGGTCGAAACGGCATTTCCACTAGCCACCGCTCTTCTTCTGGAAAGGTTCGGACCAGCGAGAGCTGGGTTCGTGCCATTTCTTGTCCCACTTGTCGTTGTTTTTCTTGGTGCGCATCTGGTTCTCGAGTCTCCAGATATGGGTGAGGAATTCTTTGTACTGCTTCTCGATGCTGTTGCGGCGGTTGATGGGCACAACGCCATAGCTAGTAAAGGTCGGGAACCATTTGGGGACATCAACCTTGACTGGGGTTTCGTACATGTTGTGGCGCGTAGAGTCATTATCAGTCTCAGGGAGTATATAGGGGACGTAGTCGGTTTCCCATTCGAGTTTGTTGGTGTCGACGGCCTTGGGAAGTTCTTTCAGATGGGGTGAGTTGAAGGTTGGGAAGTGGTGTTTAACCTGCTTAGAAAAGGCTTTATTACATGCCTTTTTCTTCGAAAAAGCCGCTTCGTCATCAAGCCACTTAGCCGCTGGGCAGGTAGTGGATGACTGCTCTTTAAGCCACCGATCATACTTCGAAGATTTGGAAGTAGAGGACTTGTTGGAGGGCTTGGGCTTCTTTGAAGGCTTCTGAAGAATGTAATCCTCATCTTCATCTTCGACCTCTCTCAGCGAGAACAGCCCCCGGAAACTCTCAGCTTCACAAAGAACCGCCGTCTGGTCCTCGGTAAGTGGTAAGTGAGAGGAATCTGGGTGGAAGGTGAATTCTCCAGCGATCATGCCTTCGACATATCCATCTCGGACGGCCATCTTTCTGGTTAAAGCGGCAACTTCGACTTTGTCGTCGTATATCGCTTGTTGTACGTGGCGGGGCACATCATGGAATTCGATTGGGGTGTTCCAGTCGAGCATCTTGATGGCCTCCTGTTCCACAGTGACCTGTCTCTTATCATTGACCTTTTTGACACTAACATCGTGATGGTGCTTCTTGTAGGTGGCATGAACAGCATACTCTTGGCGAACATCTGCTTCAAGAGCGAGTGGTTCGAGAAAGTTGATTTCGCTATGCCACTTGTGTAGCGATAGAGGTATTTCGGGGTCGATCTGCTCAGCGAAGACTCTAGGCTTAAAGGTGGAATCACTGTGTTCGGTATATTCTTTGTTGCAAGGATGGAAAGATTCCTCATGCCAAGTCTTTAGCAGCTTGAATCCGGGCTTGCGCTGTGGAATGGTGAACTGAGATCGGTGGCTAGTGTTGGGCTTGTGATACTCCCGAGGTCGATTGACTTGGCTATCGATGCTCCGTTTGTGCTTAGTTTCGCGTACATCTCCAGCACCGTACTTATTGCGTTGGGAGTCGGCCGGAGGCGTGTGAAGATCAACTGAAGACACTTCGCCCTGGTTCGGGCTGCAGAGGTAATCTTTGAGAGCTCGCAGACTGTGTGGTGAGAATACCTTGAGATTGTTCCCAGATGGTGAGCTGGGGTAAGTGTCTTGTTGCTCTTCTTGACTCTTATTGAGAGGTACTTCTTTGCCTAGATTCTCTATGAGGAGAGAAGGGGGAGGAATTTCTGCGCATGAGGCTGACAACTGGTTCGGCGTCATGATGAAAGTTGGCGTTGGGTTCAGGTCTGCAAGGTGTGTCTCCGATGACAAGTCTCCAACAGATATATCCAGAAAGTAAAATGGAGATTTGTGTTTATTCTAAAAAGAAAAAGTATTGTGTGCGCGAGAGGAGAGAGGGGAATACTACAATGTGTATAGGTGAACAACCAATACCTGAACATAAGTGCGCAGCCACCTGCCAGTGCCTGACACTCCCACTCACCGACTAGACCTGAACAAGTCGAACATATAGAACCAACAATGTCTGAACAATTGGCAATACGCTGTCAATCAGGAGTAGCCAGTGGAAACGGCTTTCTGCCAGTGTTGAAGAAAGTTCACTCAGTAGAGAAGCAAATTCTCATCACTGTCTTATATACTACTACACGACAAACGTATATGAGTATTTATTTCCCACAGTCATAAGTTGTGGCCCAACTTCGCGTTGGTACAAAGCTTTACGATTCAACGTAACAAGGCCAAATCCCCTCTCTCGACGCCTACAATGAGCTGACGACTCTCGCCTACCTTCACCGTCAGTGAGTCACGAGCTGAGGGACAGATCTCGATGTTAACGATGTATGAGGATCTAGCCAGCTTTATAAACTGTTTGCGGCCTTGTTCCCGGGTTCTGAGCATACACGAGATCGTTCTGTGACGGTTGTATGTTCGGCAGAGCCGGTGCATAAGGGACGCTGGGAGACTCGTGGATCGGGTTATTTGTAACGTTGTATGGTCATACATTGATCCGTGTCGACTTCTGGAAACATTCCGTAAGTGGTTATATAATACAGTTATATACAAAAGTCCATAAACCCCTCGCTGCCATCTATATCCCGTGTTATACATACAATCACAAGCACAGACACCGCTGCATGTGGCTCATTTCCTACACTATGATGACACAGGTCCTACTTTGACCTGCTCCCGAAGTCTCTTAGCCTCGGCCACCCGGGCCTGTTTATCTTGTCTTCTCTGTCCTGCCTCAATCCTCGCGAACTGACCACGCGCGCCATGCTTGAGCTTTGTGATCATATCCGCCGCCTTGCCTTTGTCCAGGTTTTCAAGCTTCAGAGGTTCCGCCTTTCCCCGCATCTTGTTGATGAAATCAACTTGTCCCTGTGTAGGTGGCAGTGTCCGCCATTTCTGATAGCGGTGGATAAATGTGTGGGGGAACATCTTGGCCGCGAAACTGTCCGCTCCATGCACTGCATCAGTGAATGTGGCTGCCGTGAGAATCTCCCGTGGCATTGCGTATGGTGCTTTGGCTACGCCAGGCGGTAGAGCTCGTACCTCTATGGCTCGGTAAAGCGGCCCCTTTGTGTTAAGCTGTTCACTGACCCGCTCGATTCGAACATATGAACCGCTCGGTGACGATAAGATAAATTTTTCCTTTCCGACCTGAACCCATGCATACTTGCTTATGGCCCGGATATGTTTCTCGCCAGACGTATCGGCGATAAGATCTAAAACCGAGTCATAGTCTGTGAATGTGACACTATCGGCTCCAGGCCCGGGAGTTGTCTGGTATGACAAAGGTTTTTGAGTCGTGACATGCTCGGTGTCCTTGATCTTGCGTAGGTCATTCACTGTTGCCCTCTCAACCAGGATATCAGGGTCCAGACCGAATAGCGTTGGTGTAGTTACGATTCCAGTGTCCAAACTCGAGACCAGATCAATGATATGGCAGTTCTTCTTTCCCGGGTGCAACCGCATTCCTCTACCGATCATCTGAACAAGTAAGTTGCGAGACCTCGTCGGCCTCGCGAGGATAATGCAGTCAATATTTGGGATATCAGTTCCTTCAGTGAAAACGCCGCAGTTAACCAGCACTGGAAACTCTCCTTTTCGAAAAGAGTTCAACGTCTCGCCTCTTTCAATCTTGGGGGTCTCTCCAGTAACATATCTCGCGTCAAAGCCATGCTGTCGGAACCGATCTGTCAGCTCCACCACATGGGCGACGTCAACACAAAACACAAGTGTTGACTTTCTTCCTGGAGCTTTCGCCATCCAGCTGCGGACTGTTATATCGTTGATCTCACTGGTGTTGACAGCCTTGGATAAATCTGAAGGGAGATAATCGCCGAAAGCCCCCTTCTTGACTTCAGATAAGTTTGCCTTGGACTCAACCGTCGTGAAAATGACGTCCGACAGCCACTTTTTAGAGATCATATCTACATAATCTTTGTGATAAACAATTTCGTCAATGGCTGCGCCCAGTTTCACTCCATCGAAACGTGAAAACGTGGCGGAGACACCAACTAGATTTGGGGAGTCAGGTCGCTTCTCATGTAATCCAAAGTGACGAAGGGTCTTGAGATACCCTGGAGCAACGATGTGATGGGCTTCGTCGACCAGCAAAAGTTTGAAGCTGGACGGGTCGAATTTCTTAAGACGGCCTTGTGACGTTATGCTTCGTACGCTGGCGACTGTGATATCTGCCGTTCCCGTTGCATGGACATTGCCCATCTCGATCTCGATCCTCTTGTCAGGATACGCACGTTGACAGTGGTTGGCTGCTTGTTCCACCAGCTCACGACGATGCGCCAATATCAGTGTCTGTTGCGCGTCCTCATTTACTGTTGGGATTCTATCAATGAGTTGTGTAAAGATGACCTTCTTTTTGTCAATCGACTGAGCTTTCATTGTAAGAGAAATACGCTTACTGTTTTACCGCTACCAGTAGCCAGAGATATCCCGACTCTTTTGTGACCGCTCTTCAGAGAGGAAAGAACTGAGTCTATGCATTCTTCTTGATAGTCTCGAAGCTGTAACTTGGGGGTGTCATGAGTGACTGCTGAGGCAAAGGCTCTGAATGAATGTAGGCTTATTGTGAAAGGCAACCTTGCAGCTTTGGACCGTAAAACACATCGCGGTATAGCCCGTAGCATGGCACATGATGAGAGGTGCAGTGAAAATGCGTTTCGTCTCATCGATATATGATAATAAAAAAATACTTCATGGTTGAGATGTCATGAGTCTTCGAATGCTAACCTAGACCAAGGTGTGAATGCATTATGTAAGCAACATTCTTCCACTAATATTTCATTTCAACGTCAACTGAAGGAGTGGACAAGCGGTTATAAGAACTCGGTGCAAGATGAGTGATGCGCTAACGTCAATATCAACTTTGTGATTATCTTTTTAGTATCTCGAAAAGTTTTTTTCTCATTTCCCTCTTTTGACAACTTGACAACCGCTCCTGGCCGGGAGTAACTCAGGTTCATTCTGCTTGCTAACATGTTTTCACCCTCTTGTATCTTTCCAGCCATCATACACAAATCAGTATGGAGTCGGAAACCAATTATGAACCTCTCTATGAGGACTTAAGCGATACAGAGCAAGCTGGAAACCTGGAGTTGGGAGACGATGTCCTGTTACCGCCACTTGACGAGCCATACGTCGCTGATCAAACCGACGCATCTGGCAGTGTGTATAGTGAGAAGGAGGATGAAACGGACCAAGACAACGAGGATTCTTCCCTGAAAAGACGCGCCGGTGAAGATTCATCCCCGAGACTCTTCAAAAGACAGAAAGGAGTTCTCAACACCGAGTATTTGGATCTTCTTAATAGAGATATTGAAGATGCAGCTCAGCGTGTCTGCCTTACCGACGATAGCGAAGAGACCGTTTTGTACCCAAGCCAAATAGGTCTTACTTACTGGTCGATATCGGAGAAGAAACTCTTCTTCGAAGCGATTGCTCGTCTTGGCCAGAGTGATCTTCCAGGTATTGCATCTCGCATAGGCACCAAGAGCGAGATCGAGGTGAATCATTACCTCGACGTGCTCCGAACAGCACGTCTCCTGAGACAACGACAAATCAGACGCCCCGCTGTTGAATTCCCAGAGATCCCAGCCGCCGTAGAACTAAGTCAGCAATGTTGCCACGCCTTAGACGAGGCTGCAGATGCTATTTCTGTGCGTCAGGAACGAAAAGAGGAACAGCGAGAGGAGAGCAAATGGGGAGACTGCTGGGACATCAGCCCAAAGATTGCGCGCCGACTAGACAAGGGCGAAACCGTCGTTGAAGGCCAAGTTCTTCCATTCTCCAAGCTATTCAACTTGCATACGTGGCTAAGACTATCTGAGCGTATCTTTATGAATTCCTCCATTCCTAGTGAGAACTGGGATTCTATCGACAACAGGCCTCCCTCGATGTGGGCCACTACATTCGACGACTTTCACTCTTTGGCAGTCTCAATCACGAAACGATTGGTTCAAACAACGATATTCCTCAGCGAGTCAAGAATCAGGGCGAAAAAGGAACTCGTACCGACTACTCGCGAAATCATCAGAGCACAAGATGTGGAAGCAGCCGTGTCGTCCTTGGGATTGAATCATAATTCCCATCAGTTTTGGAGCCAATGCGCACGAAGACTACGACTTGAGGTCCACGAGGAGCCGCCCCAGCTGGAGGAGGAAGGAGAACGTGAACCTCTTAGCTATGAAGAAGTGGAAACCATTCTTTCCAACGGCGGCGATGAGGCCGACCGGGCATTGGTAGCGCCATCTGATGTAGACGAAGCCGCCAACTCTTCTGGAAACGAGGCCCTAAGTTCTGATTTCGAGGAACCCGTCTCACATTTGAACGAAGAGGAGGCTGCTATCACACGAGAGGCCAACGAAGTTTTGCTCTTCTCTGCCGCCGACTTCCCAGAAACGTATCGGAAGAAAGAGACCCTCAAGAATCGCATCGCGAGTGAGCGGCGACAGGAGCAATATGCCGAAGAACGCGACCAGTACGTCAGCTGGCAGGCTGAGGCTGAGATGTGGGATCTCCTACAGAAGAAACCTCTCACTGAACTACCCAGGATACCAGAACCGGGCCCGTTGCAAAGGTCAACTATGGATGTGGAGAGCATCTTTCCCATAGGAAGGGACTGGAGAACCACGGTAAAGTACCGCAGCGAGTGGGAAGGAGAATAGGACACAACATCTGTGTTAGCCAGTGAAATGACATTAGAGCTCAGGAGCTCGCTTTTTAATGTGAATAATACTTATTATGACTCCATGCCTAAGGGTATCTGAACCGCATCATCTATCGTTTACATCATACCAATGAATTCTCAAGTTAACGTCTCCTCTTCGGTCTTGCCTTTGCTTTAGTAGTCTTCGCCTTCTGGCCCTTCTTGGCACCTCGTGTAGACTTTGATACTTGTGTTTCGCTCTCTTCAGCACTTTCTTCTTCCTCGCTAGAAGAGCTTTCGCTGCCTTCTTCTTCGCTCTCCTCTTCTTCTTCCTCCTCCTCCTCTTCTTCCTCTTCTGTGGTCTCGGCCTTTTCTTGCGTCTCAGTCTTTGCCGGGGTCGCTTTCTTCTTTTGTCGTGGAGCGCCTCGTTTGGACTTGGGTGCTGGTGATGGGGCGTCTGTAGCGTCCTCCGTATCTTCTACCGTCGTATCACCTCGCTTGCGCTTCTTGGCTGGTGAAGGTGCTGGAGAAAGTTCGAGCTGGGGTGGTGATGTTGGAGCTTCGCTGACGTCGGCCACAGCTCTGGCCATCATGGCTTCATAGAATTCCTGTCTTGGCAAACAAAATTCGTTGAATTCGACCTCTTCATCGTCGAAGTTCTCTCTTTCATCGATCACCTCAAGATTGTAGTATGTTCGGAGCTTTTGCCAAATGTACGGAATGCGTGTGTGCTGGTAAAAATCAGGGTCGATACCATGATTTCGTAAATGCTCCGAAATTGCTATCATTCGAAAGTGCTTGTGCATGCCTATACAGTCTTGGTTAGTAATAGCTCGACGTGAAGGAAGAGATCTAACTGACCAGCTGGTTTCCAGCGAATGACACCCTTGAATAATGAAGCCACTTGATCATCCGTCCAAAGATCATTGTAGTTATTGTCTGGCTGTTGCTCTTTTGTCTCGCTAGAACCTTCATTATCGCCAGTCTGGGGAGTGTCAACATCCATTGCATCGTCATCTCGCGCAGGAGTTGGTGTCGCAACAGTTTGGGTGCTAGCCCGAGCGCGCTTCCTCGGCGCCATTGCGATCGTGATGAGGAGATCAAGATCGGGATCGGTCGATTTATGGTGATATTCACGAGAGATGCTGTGTAAGTGACAATTGTGTATCAGGGTTGCTGCTTGGGAATATGGACGATCGGGATGCCTCGAACAAAATTGAAAGTCCTAAAACCCGAACCCGTCGTCGAATACCTGAGAAGGAGGTCCTGATGAAATCATAAGCTACCTTAGCATCCATTGGCTTGCGTAAAGCGGGCCCCAAACCTGTGGTGCTCCATTTTTAGTGCACAGGTGCTCTGAAACGCGTCTAACGTCCACTGAAGCGCGTCTACGGGAGGGGTACCTTACCTATGGATATTGATATCGCGTTAATTACCCTTCAGACGTACCTTGGATAACAGGACTCAAGCTCAGGTCGACATTAACCCACAAGGCGCTGCTGAGCACTATGTTATTGAATTGCTTGCATCTTATGAGAAAGGATCATGGCTGAATCCAAGGAAGCCCTGGGAGCTGTATTCTCTATACCTGACTTTTGGGAATCGTCGAAATTCCTACATCAAATAGATGATGACCCACAGGCTCAGAATCCCTTCTTTTCTCCTGGACTCAGAGGTAATTTTGGACCTTGAAATTGAATCGTGCCCCTACTAATCCGTGTTCTTAGAAGTTACAAAATCGGAGCTTGTCCACCTTGGCCAAGTGTCATTAGAGCAAAGTGGCTTCTTCAAGTTACCATCCCAGCTTGAGATCCAAGACAAGCCAGAGCCAGAGCCAGAAGTAACTGCGTCTACCAGCAACATCCAAGCCTCCACGGAAAGCCTAGCTGATTCAGAAATTGGTGATGACATCTGGGCACATACTGATGAACCAGAAGACAAGACACCGGAACACAGGACTTGGGATAGCTTCATTTCCGGTACGCCGGCTGGCCAACAACAGCCTTTGGTGACGGAAGCTGGGGCCGCGGTCTACGATGCCTTACTAGGTTGGTCCGTCGACCCCCTTGAACTGAAAAGCTCCGAGGTCCCTATTGTTGATATCAAAGCCTACTTTTCTTCATTGCTTGCTCTGGCCCTTGGTCAAGAATCAATATTCTACTTCAAACAGGAGAAAGGTCGCTCTTTTGCACCAGCGATTCCAAGCATGCGGGTCACAGGGTATTCCAAAGATGTTCTCCAGGGTCTGGAAAAACAATGTCACCGCTGCGGCTCAATGTTGTTCGAATTACGGTCCTTTGTCAATTCTACTTACGCAAAGCGCACGTCCAAATGCGGCGTTGCTTTGGCTGGTGTGCTTGATCAAATCCTTAAGGACGTTCAGCGACATGTCGCTCTCCATAGGCAGACACCGCGATCGCTTTTGGAACTCCAATCAACAGTCAAAGGAATGCTTGCGATTCTGATACCATTTCAAAGACTTGCTTCCAAATTCCGCAAAGGTTACGAAGACCAACATGTTCTTTCCCAGGTATTCCATGAAGCATACTCAGTCGACTACGGTGAAGAACAGCTCCGAGGCATCATGCGCGAAGTTTTACAGAGAGTCTCTTCGCCATGGATCGAGTTCTTGGAAGAATGGATCGGGACTAGGCAAGAAAAAGGGATTCCCTTGACGAAAGCCAATGTTGGAGCGAGCAAAGGCTTTGTCAAAGTCGACACGGAAAAATATACGGATGATTTCGGGCAGGAAGTTGAGGATATTGACTTTCTCTTGGACGAGACCAAAATGCCCCATTTCATGCCCTACGATATTGCCAAGTCTATTTTTGAGACAGGCAAGAATCTGCGGTTCATTAGGGAATGTCACCCCGAGCATCCCTTGGCTTCATCAGCTATCATCAGTGCGACCGACCCCCCGAAGGTCAGCTGGCTTTACGACTGGAACGCCATCGACAACCTTGAGAAACGTGTAGCCAAGTATCACGATGATCTCCTAGGGGCAATTCGCGACTGTTCATTCCGTGACAGAGTCAACTCAGAAAGCAATGGACTTGCGATTGGCTCTGAGATTGAAAACCCGTTCTTTCGTGAAGACGCCACGCCAGAAACATCGGGAGGGCTCTTGAACACTCTTACGGCACGTATGGATGAGCCCTTGCCTGATGATGTGAGCCAAGAGGATACATTGAGCCAAATCTTGCGTGAACGTCTTACCCAGTCTGGTACCCGCAAGCCTCAATCTCCTACCAATGGCTTCGACTTCACGCCTCACCCATCACTTCTCCCCGTGCTTTCGTTTGGGGGTATTGCATCTGCGCAATCTGAGGTTGTTAATCAGGAAAGCCTGAGGCTGCTGTTCAATAACCATGATTTACGGGGTCACCTGAAAATGCACCGTGATTTCCACCTCTTTGGTAGCGGCATGTTCGTAAGCCGTCTGTCCCATGCCCTATTCGATCCAGACCTAGAAACAGCCGAAAGGCAGGCTGGAGTTGCACGACAAGGAGGTGTCATGGGGCTTCGCCTGGGAGGTCGAGATACTTGGCCACCAGCGAGCTCGGAATTACGTCTAGCTCTTATGGGCGTTCTAGCCGAGAGCTTCGATTCAGACAATGAGTTCGCTAAGGAAAAGCTGGCTAGTATATCGAGGGATGCATCCGAGCTCCCAGGAGACATGAGCTTTGCTGTCCGAGATTTGTCGCAGGAAGAGATCGACAAGTGTATGAACCCAGACTCCTTGGAAGCTCTCGACTTTCTACGATTGTCCTACAAGCCCCCTGCGGCATTATCCAGCATCATCACCCCTGTGATTTTGACGCAGTACGATCGAGTCTTCAAGCTGTTGCTAAGAATCATGAGGATGGTTTATGTCGTCAACCAGTTGTTCTTAGATGTCAATGCTAGGACCAGTCGCTGGAACGACCCTGAGGACATTTCCTACCGATTCACTCGAGAGGCCCATCATTTCGTCTCTGGGATCACTTCCTTCTTCATGGACGCTGGGGTCGCCATTCCTTGGGAAGCATTCGAGGCGAAACTTGACAAAATCGAGGCCGACTTGAAGAACCCCTCGACAGCCAAGAGTACAGCAGATAAGGTTGAGAGTCCCGATAGACTACGAGAGTTTCACTCCCGAGTGCTTGATCGAGTCATGCTTTCTCTTTTTCTTCGGAAACGACAGCAGCCAGTGCTGAATTTGCTCGAGGAAATCTTCAGTGCAGTTCTGGAATATGCCAAATTTTCACGATTCAAGGCTCTTGGAAAAAACCAGACTGCCGACCCAAGAGAACTGGAAGAATTACAGCGTTTGTATAGCAACTTCAAGAAGAAAGTGCAAATCTTCATGACTGTCTGTCGAGCCTTGACGGAAAAGAGCCGATCAACAAGTAATAAGGTCTCGGACGATTTGGGTTTGAAACAAGAGGGTATTGGTGAAGACCATATGGTCGCTCAGCTACTATTGAAGCTCGATATGGGACACTACTACACGAAACACTAGGACGCCATATATGATATTAAGCATTAACTATGAAAGACATGAAGAAATAAATGAAAGTCTGTCAAGCCTGGAAGTAATATCTGTGTTCACCTATTCATTCTACATAAGGTAGATAACCCGATACCCCGCCATCGATGTAGGTTGCACCCTTGCTGTGGCAGGCCGTCTTTAGTGGTGGATGCCCCTCCAAATGACCCCACGCGTTACGTTAGTTCCTAACATTAATTACTGGGCTGTTTATTTATATTGAACCTTCAACACTGAACCATAGCAACCTACCCATAACGAAAATGTCGCGACAAAGCGTAGCAGCGCGCAATCTGTCTCTCACGGAAGAGCTTGAAAGACTAGAGCAGTCAATCACTCTGACCCTTCAAGGTATACATGGATCTTGAAATCTCGCGACCTAGGGCTGACCGTTGGCTAGAAATCGATCACAACTTTAGCAAATCGCATCGCATAGTAACAACAAGCATTCTACCGCTAGTAGAACAGTATGGAGAACACTCTCGCGCTGTTTGGGAAGCTTCAAAGGTGCATGGAATCCCCGGGATTCGAAGGAACTGATGCTGACGACATGTAGTTCTGGAAGCAATTTTTCGAAGCATCAGCCAACGTATCTCTCTCCGGTTATGAAGAGCTCGCCAACGACGACGAAAGCGAGAACGTGGAAGAAAGTACCGCTATGAGGGAAGATATAACAGAGGAATACACATCTCAGCATCACGAAGATGTGACCGCCACAACCGGCATCGAGCAATCTACCTTCCAAGCCGAGGACTCCCTCCTTGATGATGCTGAGCTCACAGGAAGCACGCCTCGGCCTGGAAAGACGAAGACACGATTTTCTGATATGGAATCTCCCTACGAAGCTATGAAACGCGAGGTGGAAGGAGAGGGAAATAATACCACAGCCCTAGATGATAACGAGGATTCGACTGTCTTGTTCGCCCAACACACCGCTAGACTCCCCGATATGTCAATGACTCCGCAGGCCCAGCGCGACCACACAATGACCGGCGAGCAGTCTGTTCAGCCCCATAAGGATCCTTTGCTTCACCGTGTTCTCGACAAGAACTATCGCATTCAGGCAACTCCGCACAAGCCCGCCTTTCGCATCTCCCCACTCAAGAGCGCACAACCTAAGAGCGCACAACGCAAGAAGGACGCCCCCACATGGAACGACTCACCAGGCTCCTCGCCCGAAATGGCAGTGCCGACTCTACGCAGTGAAGTTTTTATGTCTCCCTACAAAAGTAACGCTCGACAACGTCTTGCGGCGGCAACGCAGGGTCCTCGAACACCTGGTGTTAGTGTTCAGACGCCAGCGACAGCACGTAAGACGCGGGACGTCTTCACTGATGACACTGTCACAGCCACTGGAAAGGATAAGTATGAGATCGACTGGGATAGTGATGAAGGGGATGAGGATATCGATTTATATGCAGGCATGAGCCCGCCCAAGACGATACAATTTGCGCTGCCTCCCTCGAAGCTCTTGCAAACACCTGGTAAGGTCTATCCCGCTCTTAAATGGACTACCATATACTAATACTGTCTGACAGCACGTGAAGCCAGCCAAAGGATTGTTGGCGATATTCTACTGGACGCTGGAGCCGATCCGAACTCGTCCGAATACAGCCCCTCTATGGTGAAGATGAATGAAGATATTTTGAACGATAGTTTCTAAAAGCCGCAGCTCTTAAATCTAAAGAATGAACAGTTGTTTACTCTCCCATTCCGAAGATTCATCGAGTATGAAAACCAGTCCTGCATTTCAACCAAAAATACCCTTCACCCCTTTGCAATTATGTGCCCGTGTCCTTCACCATATTTTCAGTCCGCTTTCTAAATTAGCACCATGTCCCAGGCCCTGAAGCCCATCGACTACATACTGAAACGAATCTGTGACCTGAGGGCCTGTCCTTGGAGCTTCTTGGCATCGATTTCTGTCCCATTCTTTTCCTTCTGATCCTTTTTGAAAAGGGGCGCGGACGAGGAAAAGGTAGCAATAGAGGCAGTTTCAGGATCAGCGACCTTGGAACAGTTGTATTCGGTAGAATCTACCTGGGCTAGATTTACTTGTTAGTCAAGTTCAGCTTGCTGAAAACATGATGCTTACAGTCCGAGGTTGTGGGAACTTTGTTGCCTGAGTTGTTGGACATATTGAAGGTTGTGAAGGAGATTGGAAGTGATTGGGCAGTTATAGACAAGACTTGGATTAAAGTATTAAGCTTAATAGTTTGTATTGTTGTTCCTCGATGGAACTCTCGATTGCTTCTGCCTGAGAATGAAGTCCGTAAGGCGCCGCATCTTGATTTGTTATATACTCAATCCTGGCAATACAACTTGCAAGACACTCTTGTTACGATGACTACGAACGAGGGAAGACCACTAGGGTTCTTGCGAAGTCTACGACGCGCGTGAGTCATGACGAAAGCCATCGACCAGGTGTTAGGGCTGACGAAGAACTGTATACATGGTGGTAGGAAAGTCTACGTACACCATGGGTGCGTACAAGGCTGACGAAGAATCCGGGAATACGTACGTACTGTGTAAGCGTATACGCAGAACACCATCTTATTCCCTGATATGTGCGAGATATGAGAGTATCGGATGCTGCTTTAGGAATAAAGAGGAGTAACATGCAACTGGTATTGGTCAATTCGGACTGATGGTCATGCAGAGGACTAGCTTCCATTACGCCAGTGTCGGGGATTACTCACTCGACGACTTGGTGTTTCCACCAGCCATTCAGCCAAATTCGAAAATGAGCTAGGGACCTCGAATGGGCTAATACGGAATCCCCGCGAGGACGTATCTACATGAAAACATAGGATCTTAGATCAGACAAGATGGTGAGACTGACACTCTGCATGCCTTGATTGGGTTGCATCTCAAGACGATTTCCTTCAATAACACTGTTAGTATTCCATGGTATTTACTTATCACCCACCATCTCATGACTGTTTGACACAACATGAATGTCACCCGCATAGAGCGGGTGTCTTTTCGATAGCAATTGCACTTGATGGGTCATAATTCAGCCGTGTCTTACTGTCAGTCCAAAGACTCACCACTTAGTTAGAAACCGTAGAATTTGTTGGAAATGAGTCCCACAAGACAGCGGTCAAGTATCAAAGCATGCGTCACCGGACAATACCTAGGTAGACACGCGTTGATTCTGCACGTTGACAAGGCCATTGAATCTATGCTTAAACGGGCAGCTCACAAAATAACGTTAAATTTTAGAGTGAATACCTGATACCTTAGGCTAGATAGCAAAGTCCAGATAGTATAAGCCACATGTGGCTTTGCTGAGAGCAGTGGCAGTGCATGTTCCCCGCAGCCTTCTTGGCGGAACGCGATTCTTATCGATAACAATTCTATTAGCGTCTAAAAAAAATTTGGAAGTAAAGTGAACGGCGAAAGACCGTGCCAGTTAGTTGATGGTCTTTCGGAAGGTGACGACGTCGCACGCAAAAATGGAAGATCAAGTGCACAAACCGCATCGCAAGTCCAAGGACAAGAAGGACAAGAAGCAGCATACAGGTGGTAAGTCATTCCTACGCACAGTTCCAATTAGCGATTGGCGCATACTGACGAATATCAGAGCGCAACCCAAAGGCGTTTTCCTTCGCCAACCCTGGTAAGCTCCAGAGACAAGCAGCGAGATCGCAAGATGTAGGACTCTTCCCTGTTCCCTTGAATAAGAAGCCCCAATGCTAAAACTCTGCAATAGATCAAGGAAAAGCGTCTTCATGTCCCGCTCGTGGATCGATTGCCCGATGAGGCCCCGCCTCGACTCGTTACAATCGTTGGCCCTCCCGGCGTAGGAAAGACGACGTTGATGAAATCGCTCATTCGACGATATGCCAAAGAAACGATATCTGACCCTCAGGGCCCTGTGACGGTCGTCACATCGAAGAAGCAGCGCCTGACCTTTGTTGAGTGCCCAAACGAACTGGAGGCCATGGTCGACATCGCAAAGGTTGCCGACATTGTCCTCTTGATGATTGATGGGAATTACGGCTTTGAGATGGAAACTATGGAGTTTCTCAACATTCTTGCCGCTACAGGTATGCCAGGAAACGTCTTTGGTATCTTGACACATCTGGATCTTTTCCGGAAGCCACAGGCGCTCAAGGATGCCAAGAAGCGTCTCAAGAGGAGACTTTGGACAGAGCTGTACCAGGGCGCCCACCTCTTTTACCTCTCTGGTGTTATGAACGGCCGATATCCCGACCGCGAAATCCACAACTTGTCACGCTTCCTCTCTGTCATGAAGAACCCACGTCCTCTCGTCTGGCGCAATTCTCACCCTTACTCTATCATCGACAGCTTCCGAGACATCACACACCCTACCAAGATCGAGGAAGACCCCAATTGTGACCGGTCGATTGTACTGTCAGGTTACCTGCGAGGTACAAATTTTGCTTCGCACAACCAACGAGTCCACGTCCCCGGTTTGGGAGATTTTACAGTGTCTAATATGGAGGTTATGCCAGATCCTTGTCCCACGCCATCGATGGAACTGGCAATGGCGAAGATCACAGGAAAGACTGGACGAAGGCGACTTGATGAAAAGGAAAAGAAGCTCCATGCTCCCATGTCGGATCGTAGTGGCTTAAAGATTGATGGTGATGCCATCTGGATCACCAGCGACAAGGGCTTCAGCTTCGACCGAGAGGAGGATGATGATGCCGAGCGAGGAGAAGGAGAAGAGATGATTGTTGGTCTTCAAGCCGAGCGAAAGCTTCTTGGCCAAATGGAGGGCGGCGTCCAGCTTTTCAAGGGCGGCAACAAGGTCGAGGCAGTGCCAGAGGAGGAAGACACTGGCAGAAAAACACATCGCAAACCTAGATTTGCCCAAAGAGAAGATGGCGATGGTGACCAAATCGAAGACGACGAGGGCTCTGTCAGCGGCGACGAAGACTTGGCCTCGGATGCTGAGGTTGAGTTCAGTGAAGGTAAATTAGGCAAGATGTTCCGCAAGGATGCCGATAAGGAACTCGGTGAAGATGATCTTGCATTCGCCGACAGTGACTCAGACCTCGGAGCATTGTCTGATGAGGAGGAGGTGGAAGACGACGAAGAATACGATTCGGATGAGGAAGCAGCAGCATTAAGGTGGAAGGACAACTTGAATGGCACTGCGATGAGGCTACATGGCAAGAGACGCTCATATCACACAAGTGATCTGGCTAGGTATATGTACGACGACACACTAAGCCCTGAAGATGCTCTCAAGCGATGGAGGGGCGAGGATGATGAATCGGAAGAGGAGAATATTGAGGACGACGACGATGAAGAAGATGACTTTTTCAAGAAGTCGAAACAAGAGCAAGAAGACGCTATAGAGGATAGGTCAATACCCGCGTATGACTACGAGGATCTAGCGGCCAAATGGGCATCAGAGAAGAACGTCGAAGCTTTACGGAGGAAGTTCACTTCGACAGCCCTCGCTGCTGGTGATGATGATGGCGATGATGGGGATGCGAACGGCAGCGACTTCGAGGGCTTGGGCGACTCAAATGATGAGGGCGATGGTGTCTTCGAGGATCTCGAAGCTGAAGGCCAACAAGAGCCAGCACAGCCCACTGTCGACGACATTGAGGCCGAGCGAGAGAAGAACGCAAAGCGAAAGGAGGAACTCAAGATGCGATTCGAAGAGGAAGATCGTGAGGGTTTCCTTAATGATAAGGCAAATGCTCGACGAGAAGGTGGAGATGTGCAAGAGTTTGGCGAGGATCAATGGTATGAGGCGCAAAAGGCCATGATCCAAAAGCAGCTCGATATCAATAAGGAGGAATTTGAGAACCTCGATGAGCGTCAACGCTCTGCTGTGGAAGGCTACCGAGCGGGCAAATATGCCAAGGTTGTCCTCGAAGGCGTTCCAGCCGAATTTGTCAAGCTCTTTGATGCTCGTCGACCTATCGTCGTCGGTGGTCTCTCCGCTACGGAAGACCGATTCGGCTATCTTCAAGTCCGCATCAAGCGTCACCGCTGGCACAAACGCATTCTCAAAACAAATGATCCCCTTATCTTCTCTTTGGGATGGCGTCGCTTCCAGACCATGCCCATCTACAGCACCACCGACTCGCGCACGCGTAACCGTATGCTCAAGTATACACCTGAGCATATGCATTGCTTCGGTACCATCTATGGTCCCTTAATTGCACCCAACACAGGCTTTGTTTGCTTCAACTCAATGTCAGCGTCGACACCCGGTTTCCGCATCGCTGCTACCGGCACAATCCTCAGCGTCGACGAGTCCACAGAAATCGTCAAGAAGCTCAAGCTTACTGGTACACCTGCAAAGATCTACAAGAACACAGCTTTTATCAAGGACATGTTCAACTCGTCTCTTGAAATAGCCAAGTTTGAGGGAGCTTCTATCAAGACCGTCTCTGGCATTCGTGGTCAGATCAAGCGTGCTTTGTCCAAGCCCGAGGGACAATTCCGCGCCACTTTCGAGGACAAGATTCTTCTTAGTGACATTGTCTTCTTGCGTGCTTGGTACCCAATTAAGCCTCATCGGTTCTACAACCCAGTCACCAACCTCATCGGCTGGCAGCCCATGCGACTCACAGGCGAGGTCCGTCGTGATCAGAACGTGCCCACTCCCCAGCCCAAGAACAGCCAGTACCGCACTATTGAACGAGAGACCCGCCACTTTAACCCTCTCCGTGTGCCCCGCGCTCTTGCTGCCGACCTTCCCTTCAAGTCGCAGATTGTTGAAACCAAGAAGCAAAAGAAAGAGACATACATGCAGAAGCGTGCTGTCATCATGGCTCCTGGTTCCGAGGAGAAGAAAGCCCGGGCTCTCATGCAGCAGTTACTCACAATCCGTAACGACGCTGCTGCCAAGCGTCGTGCCGCCAAGGAGAAGAACCGCGCTGCGTTCCAGAAGAAGTTGGCAGACAGCGAGCAGAAAAAGGAAGCCCGTGAGAAACGGGAATCCAAGGACTTCTGGAGGAAGAATGGTCGTAAGCGTGCAGCCGCCGAAGATGGAGGTGGTGGCAAGCGCAGGAAGTAAAGGGGAGAGTGAATATCACCGTCACAGTTGCTTGAACTATATGCAAGTGATTAGAATTGTGCTAGTTGTATACCTTGTTGGGTTGGCGTTTCGAGAATCAAAAGATCAATCACATTTTTACATAGCATAAAAACCTTCTTCCAGACAGCATAATAGCATTACTTGGACATTGAACTCCCGGATCTGATGACAAACATGGTGTAGGCACCGTATACATGGCAGATATGAAGTGTTTCAGCATGTTAAAAAAGTTGAGTGAATAGCATTTGCTTCAGCAAGCTACACAGTAACAATCCTAAACACCTATCCTCGAGACACAAACGTACAAAAACAAGCAACAGGCCAGATGCGATGTCCTCCCATACGTATTAATCAAGAGTTTCTATAGGAATACTCTCCCTGACATCAGCATCTGCCCGCTCAGTCCGTATTTTAACCCCCTTTCATCAACGTCAACAATCGTCGTCGCATTGCGTGTTAAAGAATGCTCCCAAGAAACCATTTCACGCCCGAGTCCAATCTGAACAACCTTTGCTCCTAATTCAAGGATTGACATACGCCCCAAAATGCCGTAAAACATATTCATTGCTCGGGGCAGCTTTGCCTTCTGAGCTCGTGTACACATGGCACATGTCTCCTGCTGGTCACTTAAGAAGCAAGCATGGGCTCCTTGCTGGGAACAACGTCCTCGTGGGGGAGCTCAGGGGCTGCGGTGTCGATAGCGGTGGGCGCATTTAGTTCCTCCTTGAGAGCGGCAGGGGTAGGAATCTGAGGAGCCTCCGTGGCCTTGACGGGGTCCTCGTTAGGAGGAGAGGGAAACTGCGGCTGCTTGGCAGAAATAGGCTGCTCAGGCTTGTCAATCTTCTGGCGAGAAGGAGTCTTGCCACGGAGAAGGTCCTGGACTTTGCCGCTGTAGTCGCCAGCATATTGCTTGCTGATGTTTGAGACCTGTTCCATCTGCTTCGAAGCGACGCTCTGGATCTGGGCAGTCTGGGAGTTGATGAGCTCGGAAGCGTGGTGGAGTTGCTCATCGATTAGCTCCTGATTGGATGTGTAGATCAGGGGAACGACGAAGGCGACGGTGGTGCCGATAACAGCAAGTCCCCAGTAAGGAACAAGCTTAACGAGGTAGTATGAAATGAAAGCGGCGACGAAAGCCTATCCAATGTTAGTCCCAGTTATGAAATCTGTTGAATATCAAACTTACGGCGGCGGAAGCAAAGACGTTCTCGGCAAAGATGATTCGCTGGGCCTCGATGACAAAGAAGTTAATGAGCTCATGAACGTCCCCAATAAGGGCATCCAGAGTCTCACGAGGAACTGTGTAGTACCGACGAGGGCGAAGCTGAGTAGCAAGACCGTTGTTGATAATGACCTTGCCAAGCACCTCGGCAAGAATGGTTACACCAAGGATCATCCACGAAACCTTGAGTCCCCATCGGAGAAGATCCAGGTATCGTGCAGTGAAGATAGCACCGATGATAGTCACATAAGCAATGGCAGATGCGCCTATTGTGTCACTGAGGTCAGCTCTCGCAGGTCGGACAGGAGATATGAGTCAACTTACGAGGGTTGTTCCATGAAAGAAGCTCAGAAAAGAAGGAATGGTAGTGTGTGAGCGGCTGGCCGGTAGCAGCGGGATTCGCGGGAGTGCGTCGAGCAGCAGCAAGGTTAGAGAGCTCGCTGGAGGCCTTCTGAGTGTGATCGTAGACGTTCTGAGCAACAGGGCCTGAAAAGATCTAGCTTTAGCAACAAGTCAAAATCATAGTTCTTAGGGAATCGTCGTACCGTTGGCGACAGATTGATAGGCAGCGGCAGCGTCTGGAAGTCGGGTCAGTTACATTGGACTGCGGTAAGGCCTTGTATCATGGCGGGCAGTGCCATTGTCGCGCAAAGATCGCGGGGAAACACTGTAAAATGAAATTAGCAAATCTGTTCGAGGCACCCCGTATGATATCAGCGCAGTTCAGCGCAAGAAAACTTACCTTACTTGTCTTGGTGGTCTCAAGAAGAGAGTTGCCGTTAGCGGCCAAGGTGGAATCAGCCATTTCGACGGTTTAGTGTGAAGAATGTGTAAAGAAGTGGTGCGCTCGCTGAAAGAACCGTGGTGGAGTTATAGTTGAAAGTATTGGGAACGAGGAATAGGAGGTGAATCGGAAGAAGATGTTCTCTAGAAAGCGAAAAGCGGCGTGAGCGAAAGTGGCCAGAGAAATTTTGGACAGCTTGGTTTGTTTGTTTAATGCAGGGTAAAAAAGGACAAGGGCACGACGCCGACAAGCTACTGCTACGTAGCGACTTCTAGCTCGCTCCGCTCCGCGTCTCTGGACCTACAGAGCTGCAACGGTCTTTTTTTCGTCTGAGCCGATAGGTGACTAAAAACAGACTTAAGGGGCATTCGGTCGGGGAGCGAGGTGAGTGGTCGTGTGAGAGGAACAGGCAAGTCAAGCGAAACGAGCAACCCCGTCAGAGGCAGCAGACTAGGTCCAGGATAAGGCATGTGAAACGTACCTTGAGAGTGCTAAATGTCCAGTGCGAGTGAAGTGAGGTGAGGTGAGGTGATGATGGTTGAGAAAGTCTCGTCGAGAGCGAGGAAGTAAGTTTGTATGATGGAGGAGAAGGAATCAGGAATGACGTTTGTGTTCGTAGAGGACGGGACACTTCTCTTTTAGGTGTTGGAGGGGACCAAGTTTCGTCCTTGCTTCAGGTGGGAAAGAAGGCACGGGGGAACGAACGAGTGACGACAGCGTCGCCGACCATGGAGCCCACCAAAAGAAAAACTGGCTACTAACCTTACACAACTCCAGTTGCTCATAGTGGTACCCACGCATTATCCGTCCATTACAACAAGATTTGAATTGCTACTGTGAATCACTGCAAATCTCCTTTTAGTGGACCGACGCTTAACAACGCCGGTCTCAACGAGAGAGCTCCTGTTGCGTAGCATTGGATCTCTGGACTCTCTTTGTCCAGAAGCTGGACGATGGAGCTTGGATAAGGTACCTAGTTTACCAAACCATGATGCCGGTGGAGCTCTGTTACCCATGACGCAGTGCTAGACCTATGGAGTACATCCGGTATGCGCTCCACCAGTCAGCAGCTGCAGGTACCGCCAATGTCACCACTTCTCCAAATGTCCAAGCTGATCCATCAACAAGGGTTGATCCCGTCATCAGGGAGCTTCAACGACGACATTCCAGGCATGCAGCTCTAAGAAATTGACAAAAGTCAATTCTCTTTGTGACATATGAAGCTAACTAATAGTAAACAGACGACAGTTTACCACTTCGAGCCAAAGTACGGGATACCTCAGAGTTCACCCGCAATGCTGCATAAACCTGTATGATGCTTTGACGTGATGATCTGGTCATTTCTAACGCATGTGAAAGTCGCACTAAAAAGGGGGTTCTTTATCTCAAAAATGACAGGGCCTTGCCATTACAGCTCTAACTTAAAGGGCACAAGCCTGCATCTTCTTATCACCACACCACGATGGTAACATCAGGAAAGAATAATTACAAACTGTCCACAAGTTGAGAATGGGCTATTATGCTTTCTAGCGTGAGTGGCTCAAGGCGAGTATTGAACGATATTCGGTTTCAAAATATTCATGTTACTGGGTAGGGGGACCTCAGAGAGCAAAAAACATTATGATCTCTCGACTCAAGATGATAAAAATATTTAGATAAGCATAGTATTGAGTTTTTATGGGTTATTTTGTCACTTAGAATAAAGGCCTATTTCTTGTCTTCCCTCAGAGGATATCAACACGGAGAGTTTGTGATGATGGCATCTAGCTGTATCCTCATTGGTCAACACTGCATATTGAATAGATGAGTTATCTGACCGCGACTGTTGATGCCATAAGCTTCGTAAACCAGAGGAGAACAATGATTTTATGAGATTTTATAGATTATTTCAATGCCGATCTGAGATGGCGCCAATTTCAGTCCTGGGAAAATGGTACTGATCATGACATGTACAAGTGCCAAGTTCAGAGGCTGAATGGCCCATCGATCGATGACTTGCATCATAGGCGATTACCAGTACGTACCCAACTCTGATTCCGTTCCATGCTCTCCATCATCTTCCGAACATTGTACCTAGGTATCTTCGGGCAACTGTGGAGCAACAATCTCATGAATAAAAATGTCTTTTTCAATTACATAGACTTATATAGTATCTATCAATCCGCGATCGTGCGGCATTCTGAGAAACCCCGACAGAAGTCATCTTTAGACTCCAACTCCCGTGCTAAGTAGACAAACGCCCTGATATGACGACAATGATGGTGCCTTTGTGACACATGTGAAAACAAGGAAAACTACCCGTTAAAAGGGCACATGTGGCCCATGCCCAACACTCAGAGTTCCCAGCTTCTCGCCTTAACATCCCAACATATGCGCTCGACTGCACGAATCTCATGCTTCCCAAGATATGTACAAAGAATCGACAATTTTCACTTCAAGACATGTCGCGTGAGTGGCTCGTGAACACGGTCCAGGGTTCGTTGAGATCGAAGCCACAATCCTGACTCTCTACCTTCGCCAACCCCAGAAACTTCCTCCGGATCCTGGAGATCCAGCATTCGTCGATGCCGGCTTCATCACGACGTCATTTGTGGCAGCTACCCCGTGGCCGGTAAGAAGGCTGAACACTCCACCGGGTCCAGACTGTGATGCCGAAGGAGCATGCGCTGATACGGAGCGGCTCAATCCGTGAGATTTGCGTATAGACTCCAGCTTTTGCCGAGCCTCTTCAGCTTCTTGCTTCGCCACTGCTTCGGCGGTTTTGGCTTGGACTAGCTCAGCTAGTAAAGCCTCGTGCTCACTCTGAGATGGCGCGGGCCCGGTCGTGGTCACCGTTGGTACACTGGCTTCGTGGTTCTGAGGCAGGGATGATATCCGCTTGTTGAACTTGCTCGTCGTGGCCGGCATAGACTCATGATCCTGAGGCTGCTGTTGCGGTGGGTGCGGTGTAGTCTTACTGCGGTTGAGCTTAAACTCTCGAAGGCCACCTCCAGTCTTGCTACCTCGGTCCACATCGTGTTCTTTGGCTACCTCATGGGCTGAGCTGGCTGACGAGACGCGGGATTTTAGCCCATGCATTTGCTTCTCGAGTCTCTGCTTATCCTGGTGGAGCGTTCTGACATGTGCATGACTTTCCCTTAGTTGCTCTTTCACACTGGCCATCTCCTGGTTGAGATCCAAGATCTGGCGGCTGTACTCTTGTGACTGCGACAGTGCAGCAGCAAGCTGGTCCTTTGCGTGGTTCAGCTCATCCTGCAGCTGCGCCTTCGATATCAGCATAGATGAACGTCGTTTGTCATCCTCCACTTGGAACCGCTGTTCGACAATATTGAGCAGATTTTCCAGGTCCTCGGTGGTGGATGGCGCTCCTTTCTGAGCCTCGTCGTCGTTCGCTAGGACTTTTCCCTCAGGATTCGGTGTCTTAGACTCGTCCTCCTCTGTCTCCGACTTTTCACCTTTGTCCGCCACTGAGGTGTCCTCTTTATCGGATAAGACCGATGGTTGTGGGCTGTCGGGTCTTGACGCGGCAGAGTCAGCCTTCTGTCTCAATCCATTCAAAAGTGACTGGACGGCCTTGCGGTCTTCTTGTCGCTCTTCGCGTTCCCGTTGTAGCTGATTCGATAATAAAGCATGGTTACGCTGGAGCTCACTAAGAGCGGTAAGGAGGTCTTCGATCTGACTATGTAAGTTTCGTTCGTCTGTGTTTTTATGGGCTGTTATTGTCTTATTGCCCACTGGTGTAGATTCCCGGCCATCCTCAGTATTGGAAGAATCTCTCGACATTGAGGTTACGTCTGTTGATGATGAACTTGTGACGCTAGCTGAGCTAGCCTCCATCGAGTTCAATGTCGATGCAAGACTTTGCTTGGATGCGCTTCGTCGCAGCATACTCGTCGGTCTTGCAGGCGCAGTGTTTCCTGGGCTGAGGTTGGAAGATTTGTTGTTGGTAGAGGTAGCCCATATCCGGCCGAGAAAGCGGCTAGCTGCAGTAGTAATCTCGGAACCTCTGACAGGGTTCGTGATGGCCGCCTTGGACTCGCGGTAACTTTGCTCGAGCTGCTGCATGTTTTCGGCGGTAACAGCACCCGTCAGCCCGACAAAGTCCTGAACAAATTCATCGGCATTGTAATGGTAGCAATCCCAAAGGCCCCGAGATAAAAGAAGTTGCATAACATCCTCCATTTCCGTGCAAGCCAATAGTCGCGCCTCGTTCTTCCGCATTAAGGATAGCGCGACTCTCATCAATGTCTCTGAGGCGCCCTCTGCAAAGATCACATCGTAAGTGCGAAACAGCATTGGCAAGGGACAGGTCACGGCAAAAAAGCTGAGAAACCATTGCGAAACATAAGCAGGGTCAACTTGTAGCTCGTCAAGGTGATTCGACAAGACTGGGAGGCTTTGGCGTAGCAGCTCCTTGAATTGGTAGATGCGTACGTGGAGACCCGACAGATCAGGGAGGAAACACGCCCTTAAGTCGTATTGCTCCATGAGGCTGAGATTGTTTGTCAGTCAATGTCACTGTGGCCAAGGTGAGGGAGGGAATTGGCTGCGGCTTACCGAACCAAAACACAGAATGCCTGTTTGTCGGGCATGTGCATCAGCAATGGGCCGACCAGAAAGGCCAGCCCCTGACAATAGCCAATCTTGGTGTCGTAGAGACTGAAGCACTTGAGGACGCGGCCAAGCATACGCTGTCCATCACCCTCTGGATCTCGGAACATGTCTACACCTGGGAAGCTTCGGCCCAAGTCTTTGCCAATTATAACTTCGTATGGACTAGACTCGCCACAGAAGCGATCAAACTGTTCTTCCAATATAGCATCCCGAGCTCCAGACATGCTTTGCCAAACCACCCCACGCAACGGTGGAGGGATACCTTTACGAATCTTATTTGAGAGAAGAGTCGGAAGTCGGGCAGCTGTTTGTTTGTAATCCTTAACGAGAGCGGCGTAGAATTCGAGATCTGTCATGGGCGGTGGTGGTAGCATCGAATATCGTAGAGCAGCGGGCGTGGGTCCCTG